ACATTTGACAACATTGTTCCTCATTTTTCACTTTCATGGCTCGATCCCCTTGTGTCGAGAATACAGTATGAATTTTGTGAGAGAACAGTAGTAGAGCGAAATGAGGGAATGTTCCTAAGGGAGCATTCTATTCTCTCACCGTCAAGAATTGAGCTCCAGAGAGCTACTATCAGCAGCTACTGGTGACATGGATGTGAAAAATATTACAGTTTTAAAGAGTTTTAAAAGGAAGGAATGAACAAAAATCTAGGTGAAACCATGGATTCAGCGTAGCTCGGAAACATACAAACATACAAACCTGATTTACCCAAACTTCTGAAGGAGAAGCAAGGCCAATGTTCACATTAGTGTTTGTTAGTCATTCCCATGATTTAATTTTATGGACATTCAAAGGTAAATTGTAATGAATTTAATTTTAGCAATAAATAATATCGTTATTAAGTATGATATCAAGTTTTATTCAACGTACCTATAGTTTAACTAAGACTTTAAAAGAGCCGGTACTTTCAGTCTAGATTAGATAAATATAACCCTCAGTTAAACTTTAACCGTTCTAGTCTACGGGCCCACGTACAAAGAAAAAAATGATTACCAGCAAGCTGTAACTTTGCGTGCAGCTTAAGTTTGACGAGTCTCCCAAGATTTGACTACGAGGAAAATTCAACAGTGGTAAGTTTTCCCGTGATTTTCAGGAAAACATGTCAATCTGGCATAGACATGGAATGTTATGATCAGCACTTTTTTTTTTAGTTTAAATGAAAGATATATATTTTTTAAACCCCCCAAAAAATTTGTCCGACAAAAATGTTGGTATTTTGAGTTTGTCCCCCACCCCAAATATGTCGATTGGGTGACATTATGGTTGGTGACAACCAGCAAGCCGATTTTTCTGGGAGGGTTTGGTAATAAGATTTGAAATGAAAGTATCTTATTGTCCGACAAAATTCTTGAGAAGTTTTTGCAGTCCGACGCCCCGAAGATGTCGACTTAACGACAACATGGTTGGTGATAACCAGCAGTCTGGTTTTGATTTTTTTCTCTAATAATTGAAATGTATAACACAATAACATACTTGTCCGCCAAAAGGATCGGAAAAATTGCCTTAAAAATGGGAAAAATAACTATTTTTGTAGTACCTAATGTTCATTCAGCTATAAAATAATTAATTTTTTAATCAAAAAATAAAGAAGAATAAATAAGAAAATTATCTTGTTAACATGGGCAACTGAAATTGAAATTCATAAACAATTATATCTAACTAATTTAATTAATCTCCATCAAAATTATTTCTTTGTTCAAAAAACTTATATGTACATTTCATTTTATAAACTATTATGAACACATACATTTTTGCTTGTGTTTTTTTTTATATTAAAATTTGCAATCTTGTTTTGACAAACAGTTTACACACATAGTTTTGTTCTTGAAAATCAAATTAAACCAATTTTAAACCAATTTTAAAAATATTATACATTTATCAACGCGTTTATTAAAAGATTGTCTTGTTGTAAAGTATAAATCCTTAATGCGAAATGACTTTGCAGCATTTAAAACCTGCTGCCAAAGTTCTTAAAAGGTGTTTATAGTTTCTCCATAAACAACTGATTTCATGTAACTCCAAAAACGGAACTCTCGACATTCCATCTCACATTTATGTACATATAATTTAAATTAAGATGTAATTTTAGTTACGAATAATACTTAATGGACAGTAGCATACAAATGACAGCAATAAGAAAAGTGGAATATGTCAATTATTTGATTTTCGTCCAAACTTAAGAAACTTCACCGCTAAATTAATAATAGGTTCATTGTAATTTAATTCAACAGCATTGGAAGTTTCAAAGCCAAATATCTCGAAAACGGTGCGAGACAGCTAGTTTTATAAAATGTAGCTGTTTTGTGTGAAAAAAGTTGGAAAATAAGAATTTGATACCAAAGATGAGATACTTTAAAGTATAAAAAAGTTATGTCGTTTTTAACACATTCAGTCTTATGCAGCTAGCGCCCTCTATGAACTTTAACCAAAATGTGAACACATTTCAATTCCTCTACATAAAGAACTCCAAACCTCAAAATTTTGTCAGGATTTTTGCATTTGTTAAGGAATAAATGAAAAAAAAACTAAAATAATATTTCACATTTAACACCCTGTATCTCTTTAACTATCAACTTTTGAACTAAGGTAAGTTCTGCCAAATCGTAATATTTTTGCTTCGAGAATCTACCCATGAATTTTGACCTATTAGCTTGAGACCACCCTGTATAAAATTTTTTTGTAATTGTATAAAAAAATTAATTTATCATATTTATTTTGAAATTTGATAAATTTAAACAAAATTTTTTTTATTCATATATTTTTTTTATTAATATAAATTTTTCTTCTACATCATGCGTAAGTATTGAAATCGCAAAATTTTATAGTTTAATTTTGTCGGACAAGCAAAAAAAACCGATAATTTTGTCGGACAATTATATTCTCAGACTAATATTGCATTTTTTTAAATAATGACGCTTTTGTCCGATAGCTGGTTATCACCAACCATGTTGTCGTTAAGTCGACATGTTCGAGGCGTCGGACTGCAAAAACTTCTCAAGAATTTTGTCGGACGATAAGATACTTGCATTTCAAATCTTATTACCAAACCCTCCTAGAAAAATCAGCTTGCTGNTAAATTAATAATAGGTAGGTACTTCATTGTAATTTAATTCAACAGCATTGGAAGTTTCAAAGCCAAATATCTCGAAAACGGTGCGAGACAGCTAGTCTTATAAAATGTAGCTGTTTTGTGTAAAAAAAGTTGGAAAATAAGAATTTGATACCAAAGATGAGATACTTTAAAGTATAAAAAAGTTATGTCGATTTTAACACATTCAATCTACTGCAGCTAGCGCCCTCTATGAAGTTTAACCAAAATGTGAACACATTTCAATTCCTTTACATAAAGAACTCCAAACCTCAAAATTTTGTCAGGATATTTGCATTTGTTAAGGAATAAATGAAAAAAAAAAAAACTAAAATAATATTTTACATTTAACACCCTGTATCTCTTTAACTATCAACTTTTGAACTAAGGTAAGTTCGGCCAAATCGCAATATTTTTGCTTCGAGAATCTACCCATGAATTTTGACCTATTAGCTTGGGACCACCCTGTATACAATTTTTTTGTAATTGTATAAAAAAATAAATTTATCATATTTATTCTGAAATTTGAGAAATTTAAACAAATTTTTTTTTATTCATATATTTTTTTATTAATATAAATTTTTCTTCTACATCATGCGTAAGTATTGAAATCGCAAAATTTTATAGTTTAATTTTGTCGGACAAGCAAAAAAAACCGATAATTTTGTCGGACAATTATATTCTCAGACTAATATTGCATTTTTTTAAATAATGACGCTTTTGTCCGATAGCTGGTTATCACCAACCATGTTGTCGTTAAGTCGACATGTTCGAGGCGTCGGACTGCAAAAACTTCTCAAGAATTTTGTCGGACAATAAGATACTTTCATTTCAAATCTTATTACCAAACCCTCCTAGAAAAATCAGCTTGCTGGTTGTCACCAACCATAATGTCACCAAATCGACATATTTGGGATGGGGGACAAACTCAAAATACCAACATTTTTGTCGGACAAATTTTTTGGGGGGTTTAAAAAAATATATCTTTTATATAAACTTAAAAAAAAGTGCTGGTCATTCCATGTTTATGCCAGATTGACATGTTTTCCTGAAAATCACGGTAAAACTTACCAGTGTTGAATTTTCCTCGTAATCAACTCTTGGGAGACTCGTTAAACTTAAGCTGCACGCAAAGTTACAGCTTGCTGGTAATCATTTTTTTCTTTGTACGTGGACCCGTGGACTATTCTTTTCGGTTACTTTCAAGCACTGTCAACTACCGACAAGAGGTAAAAGTGGGCGTGTCCGTAGTTAAATTTAATCGGAGCATCTAGCCGCGGTTGCCGACTGATTAACGTGGTTTAGCAGGAAACATATTAATACTTTTGACAGAATTGACGTTTAAAAAAATTGGATTTAAATGAATTGGAGGAGCTATTTGACGGTAACAATCTACTACTTTAATAATAATTTGCGTACATATCAAGTGAAAACACGCATCAATCATTTCGAAGGGTGTACAGAAGAACAATTTTTTAACAGATTTCGGTTTTCGAAAAACACTGTTAGGACAATCTTGTTCCCAGCAATAGAACAGATTTTGAACCGTTTGAACCTGCAGTATCAGTATGTAATATTACAATATTATATCTTCACCTTTTATATTTTATTTGAATTGAAGGTATAATCAATTTGATGCTTATATGGACCAGCTTACTCTGCTATGAACTATTATTTTCCCATCAGTATTTTTGTTTTCAATTATTTTTAGTTCTGTTGGCATTAAGTCATTAGGAGACCGATTTCATACTTCCTCTTTTTTCTTGCCCATTATAGCTTAAGATCTTTGAATAAATATATCACACAGCAAAAGTAATTAATAAATCAGATTTGACAAGAAATGTATGACACATGACATGCATCATAACAAAATTTAAAATTTGCGTACGACGTACGTCTTTCCTACTATCCTAATTCAAATCCTGGGTTAAATCACATACTTCTGGATAGAAGTATGTGGGTTAAATATGAAAATTATTTAGTGCATATGTGATTAATTAATTCCCGTTCAAAATTTGCATCATATAATGTCAAAAAGAAGAAGAAAACGAAATAAGCAGATGAAGTGCAACCAACCTAAAAATTGCAAGATTATCTTATGTCAAAATGTCAACCTTGCAGACTTCTAACAGTCAAAAAATGTGTTGTGACGGTTGGAGAAAAAATAAATTAAATCTGACACTAGAAGTGGCATACGTTACTTTGCCAGCATAAAAACACAAATCTATATAAATATTTGGTGCATTGTTCTTAAAAATTGCAGTTATATGTCAGTTACTTTGTTCAAATATTTTATAAAGTAAGAGTACTTACCACTTAACTGAATTTTATCTTCAAATGTAGCACGAAAGCATCCCTCTGGTTTATTAACAGCCTTTTTTATTTGTCCTCTGATACCAGAAACCGTTTTAATACGTGCTCCCTCAAACTTAGCAACTTCCAACGCAGAGTTAAACATTCCTTTAACAAATGCTGTCTTTTTGTATATCTTTAGTGGGTAGCCGATAAGTTTTAATTTTTTCATTATTTGTGTAGACTTATCTAATTCTTGAACAGTTCCCGTGGCTGCGATTCTGAAGCCTAATTTTTTAACTACCTTTAAAAAAATACAATTAAAAAAAATATATAATAGTCACTTACACTTACTTCCTGTGAGGAGTCGACGACTTGCAACGCCAAAAAACCTGTACCTTGAGGCGTGATCGGTCCCCAAAAGTGGGCGTTGCAGGCAAGATGCTCTGGAGTGTATTTTAAATATCTGTATTTCAAATCGTCCTCTAATTTGGAATAAAGTGGTATTGTTTGGAACCTTCGCCATCCCAAGGAAATTATTAACGGATCATTTGTTTTCAATATTTTATTATACCATCGATGTTTCTTTATTCTAACATTAACGTATCCTATATTTTCTTCACCCATATTGAGGGCTCCTATAACCAACGGGTAAGTCGGATCAAAATTAGTGATAAACTCGGCAGGCACATTCTCAAATTCTATTCGAACATACATTCCAGCTCTAAATCCTTCAATCTGCACCCTAACCTCATCAGGCATGCTATCGAAAACTGTTTTGTTCAACTGAGCTTGTTTTTCAGCCGTCATTTTCAGATCATCGTAATAACTGGTCTTTTCAGTATTATCATACTCTGCATCAAATTTTTCTTTCAGCTTCCTTTTCTTCTCTACAAGAGCTTGCTTGTCGGCCTCTTCGTCTTTCTCGCTGTCTTCTCTTTTACGCTTTTCTGCCTGTTTCTGATCGGTTTTCAGTTTTGATGTTTCAAATTTCTGTCCTGTTTCGAGATCTTCAAAGTCGCCGAATATTTCTGAGTTTACATCACTTAAATCTTCAGTGTCGTCTAACTTCAGGAGTTCTGCTGCATCTTCCGATTCTTTCCACTTTCCGGTTACAAAACAGTTAGCAATAAGAGCTTTGTTCTGAAAAATATTAAGTGTTTTTTTATTTTGATGTTTCATTTCTCAGTAATGAAAGAGGAATTTTTTTATAATAATGTGCAATTTTCAACATATACAGGGTGCAAGAAAATAAATTATTCTAGTCTAGAAATAAAAATAATAATTGTCAAGCCCCTCTCCTTATTTGGGTGGGTCAGCATATTGTTACAAAATCAGTCACTAACAGTTTCTTATCAATAAAACACACTCGAAGCGAAATATTAAACTTTTCTTGATCAATGTTATTCCATATTTCTACAAGAATGTTTTCAGTATCATCTAGTCATGTACGTTTAACCAAAGAAAACGCAGACAAAAATAACTTTATCGTTATCGTAAGTACCGCAAACACCTCTGTGTCAATGTTTCTATGCTATATTATGTTATTAAGATATCCCAATAATGTGTAGGTAGTAGAGTGCCCATTTTGTTACACATGTTTTGTGAAACCCTTGATGCCTAATATCTCTAATGCAGAGATTACCCAATCTTAATGGCTCACCCTGTATAAGGGCTTAAAATACATATAAAATTTTACAAAAAACAACTTTTAATGGTATGAGAAATGTGTAAATACAAATATAAAAATGATCAATGTAGAAAATTGAGAGAATTCTATTAATAACTTACCTCTGTATCTAGCCAGTCTCTTGTCGAAGCGCCCCAAGGTAACATTAATGATGACTCAGTTAAATTCATGCTATCTTTATTAAGTTTTAACTTTTCTTGATCCCTTGACGCTTTCTTAAAAAGTCCTCCTATATTATCTTCGTCATCGCTACTACTTTCACTTTCTTGAGTCACAAAATTATGTTTGGAATCAAATACACCTAAAGGAAATATACATACTGGTTAAATCAATAGTTCTGACACTTATTACCACATAATATTTTGCATTTTTCATTAAAAATTAAGACTAACTTACCATATACTAATTTCATTATATTATGATTTGTATTTTGACGGTTCACGAAAGAATCTTTGGCTTTTTGGGCTAAATTTTCCTTCCACTTTACATCCATACCATAGACATCACTATTGTCTTCACTGTCTTCATTATTATCCTCCAAATTTTCATCACTTTCGGAATCTTGCTCACTATTTGATTCTTCCGAGGATTCTTCATGTTTATCAGAGTGTTCATCACTATCTGAACCTTCATTATTATCTTTATCATTACTTACGAGATTGATTTCACCATCAAAAAAATTACCATTTGCTTCTGAAGTACTTTCTTCATTTACTTCCTTGGAATTTTGGATAGATTTGTTACCGTCTTCTTTTCCTGAAGTGGTTTCTTTAAAACTAAGCTGTTTTAAGACGCTGCTAACCTTATCGTGAATATCTTTATCTTTATTNCCGATTTATCTCGCAAACCGTTCATTTTTTCGAAATAAATAAAGAGTACCATTTTTAAAGAAAAACCTTCAGAGTATCTAATAATAATATTTTCAGTTTGATAAAATTACTTCTGTCAAAATTTTGAGAAAAATTGTGATAGGGCCAGTCCGTTTCTGGACACCTGATAATAGCAAAAAGTTGATTTTAGCATCAAATCGTAGAGCTCCATGTGTAATACAACGTACGAAAATGTTATTAAAATATACAGGGTGGTTTCAAAGTTATAACCCTAAACGTTAATTTCTAGGTACCCCTTTGACCCCCCATAACTCCGTTAGGGGGCACATTAGGAAAAAAAAATATAGGAAGGACTAGTTTTATTTTGACCTCCCCTATACACTCCCGAGAGATTAGGAGGTACTTACCGGACACCCTGTATACATATATGAAAGAAGAAGAAAACAAAATAAGCATGTCGGATGAAGTGCAACCAAACTAAAAATTGCAAGTTTATCTAACCTATTATAACGTTTAAAAATACCGTAAAGTACCTTTAAACTTCAGTTAGTTTACTGAGATTAATTTGTAGACCAAGTAGTTAACTATCTAATCTATACTGAAAGTACCGGCGCTAAGTAAAGATTATTAAGTTAATTTTAGGGAACATTATGGAGTCAAGGAAGAACACGACGCTAACGGCATTTGATTACCAAAACAAAATAAAAGAACTTATCTAAACCCACGCACAAAAACAATAATAAACAGATATTGATTTTATATCAGAACAATTAAATTTTAACAAAAGTAAAGATGTTTATAAATGCTCGAAATACATACCATTATTTTCAATGTAGGAATTTAACCTTCGCTGCGTGCTTAGCACACATTTTGTTTTGGTAATTAAATGTCTTTTCGTTAGCGTCGTTGTGCCTTAATTCATTATTATTATTAATTATATTTTGTTCACTAATTTGCGAATAACTTGATAACAAAAAAGATATCGAACCCTTTTTGGCGTCTAAATGTAGCTATTTTTATGCTCTTCAACCTAACTGACCTATAAAAGGTTTTATCCTGCTATTTAACTTTTTTAAGAAAACGTGAAACAACCTAAACTTGGATCAATAGCGCCAATAAATAACTAAATAGGCTATACCATTTAAAAACACTTTCATTAGAAATTTCAGACTTATGCTATATACATCAATTCATTTAAGTAAATAAAACTATATATTTAAAATTTTTGAGAAATATCCATAAAACGGCATTCTTTTGAAATAACGCCATCTATAGGTTTCCATATTGAGGTAAATTACATTCACTACGAGATAAAGTATAAAAAGACCGTTCCAACGAGGCATATCACTATGGGCGTTTGATGAGCCAATACTAAAAAAAATGATGAATTTTTCTGATCAGACATTTGAAATTTTTCAATTAATTCCCTGGTTCTCAAACCTCACTCTCGTTGATAATATCAATTTTTCCTTTACTAGGAAGACGCTCCCCGTCATGCTCAAAATGTGTGTTATTATATTTACGTTAACACCCAAGAATTCAAAATAGAGCTAAAATTAAAACCACATTCCCTGAGTTTAAGAAATAAATTTTGTGAACCCAACAATCATTATATATTCTATATTTTATAAAGGTACTTTATTGCGCTTTAATGGGGGAGATTTTAGCATTGTTGTATGCTGGAAAATCCAGCAAATTGGTGCTCGCGGTCATTTAAGAGGAACGCCTTATTGGCGGATCCAAAAACAAGGGGATTTCCATTTATACATATATTCAAGGAATTCAAAATCGGTCGTTATATAGTAGTCACTTAATACAGGTGACTCACTAGACGACATCAACATAACATAAAATCATGTTGCGACCATACGTATGTTTTACAGTTTAAAAAACTGTTAGTGGTACTACATATCACAGTTATTTCCATGTCCAACTACATTTATTAAATACACTGCCATTATACCGAGGTTACATATTCTTTGAGTATTGTACTGAGGCATGTAGTAATATGGGGATATAAGAGAACTGAATGCCGTACTTGTCTCAACATAATAAAATTCGTAGATTCAAAAACTGTTAAAACCAAATAATATGTACTTATTTTCCCTATCCTTACATTTGAAATTTCATAAAACGGAAAGGTATGTGAAACATTTCTGTTGTTTTATCTCTTGCATCATTTTTCAAGATGGCTCCAGGAAATATACAATTAGATATGCGGTACACATATTCAGAAAGTCCTGAATTCGTGATTTCTTTTCATTATTTTATAAATTTTTGCAATGGCGAAAAGGTTTCCCATGCTTTCATCAAATTCATTTTAAGCCAGCCGTTCGCTTTGCTGAACAAAGATCGTATTAGTCTCAATTAGAATATAGTTTTATGTATGCTATAGTGCCCGTGAGCATCTTTGCATTTTACTTGTAGAATAAAGTTCCACCAAGAATCATGTGAATACTCCAAGCTGACTTGATATGCAGAAACTATTGCCCTAAGCCCATACTGCATTATTTTTCCTGAGACACTGAACGAGGCATCGAGCTCATTTCCAGAATCTCATTCATTCTTTTTATAGAAACCTCACTCTGTTGATGTTGGTTTCCCGTAGTAATATGTCTTGCGATTTATGCCTATCCTCATACTGATATTTATAGGATAATGATCTGGCATGGATACATTTGATGATATCTTTTAGCCCTTGACTCAGTCCGTGATGATCTCTATGCCTTCTTGCCTACTCCTTGTAATAAAGATAGGCCTGTAATCTTTGTCGACAATGTCTAAACCATTTGGATTTACGTATCCTAAAAGAATCAAAACACTTCGGTCTATGCTCTCCCAGCATATATAATGGGCATTTGCATCGTATGTAATAGTAAGTGGGAGACGATAATAAAGGTTCATGAATTACCTTCACATTAGGTCGGGTAAAAGAAATTCAGAACGAAGCTCACCCCCAGGCGTTAATTTATGGTTATTAAGTTCCTGGAACAGAAAATTGTTGGCTTAAATGCATTAATATGTTTCACAATGTAGATACCGACTCCTGGGATCTCAGCATTTCTCTTAAAAATCTGATCTCATCTGCTAACAGCATTCTGGGGCGCATTCATCATAATATCGAATTATAACAAGAACAGTGGACTCAAAAATCTAATTTGCTGAAATATAACAAACGATAGAGAATTTAACTTTAAGAAAAAGGTGCCCATGAACCTAAGCCCGGGAATTTTTAATGAAAAATATCAGTTCTTTCAAATATATATACATTGTAAAGGCAATCTTGCGTGAATATTTCAGAAATGACAAATGATATTAAATTTAAATTTGATACGAATTTTAAAGGTATAAGATGCAATAAAAAACATTTATAAACATTTTGTTTCATGGTTCAGAGCGCGCGAAGGAGTAGGATCATATCGCTGTGTTTAATTATCTTTTTACGGACAAGGATCTTTTAAGGAGAAACAATTTGTAAGGTAAAAAATAAAACACTCCGGTATAATTCTAGAATTAACTAATTACATTGCAGGAAATAACTACTCTGTGGTCTAACGCTCTGTCTAGCAATATCTGGCAAATGCTAGTGTCATTCGTAAGCAGAATCTCCCAATACAACCGGTTTCAAACTTAAAAACCCATTTAAAATTGTTTTCATCTACATATTGTGATACAAATGTTTCTTTCATAGTATCTGCGAACCAGCAGGTTGCTCTCTGCCAGTTAACCCCATTTCAGACCTGGACATTGAGTGGCAGTGACTATTCATAGATGTAGTAGGTATATTTTAGTTGCAGAAAATTTTCGTCGTATCTTCTACCAAAAATCAAATGCATATTAGTCATATGACAAAATTATATAATTCTTTGCAAACTACCTATAAATCTATATTTTTTTTTAAAAGACATCAGATAACTTTGATATGATTCGTATTTGGTTTTAATAAAAAAAATATATTGTTAGAAACACACTAATTATCAGCGAATATTATAATATATTACATTAAATACAAGTTTTTAAATTGTAATATAAAAGGTTTATAAAGCACTTAAAACAGCTAGTTAATAAGGGCGTCTGCCGTCGAATGTGGAATGCCGAGTTGCCAAGTGCTGAATGGTGAATGTATGGTTCCATGTGTCTTATCTGCCCTAGCCGAGGAATTTGTTTATTTTACTTAGCCCTTGCCTCTTGGGTTAAGTGTTCACATTATCGGTCTTCGCTCGATTTCTAACAATATATTTTAAAATTTGCAAAAAATCAGGTATAATTTGATTCACAGATGTCTGTTTCAACGATCAAGAAATACAGGCTGTTACAAATTCACTTCTCACTACAGGGATCTCGGAAACGGTAAGAGGTACGAAGTAGCTTAAATGGGGGAAAAGTTGCGTAATCGGGGGACCAACATTATGCCTAAAAAATCAAGGCTAACATGATTAGTTTTCGAAATATTTGAAAAAAAAACGATATTTTGGAAATCCTTTTTTCTTTCATTTCATATAACACTTATACTTAATCTAGAACAAGTCAAATAGTAACACATAGTGGTAACAAAACTGAAAATAAAGACATGTAATTGATCACAATAAGAACAACAGTTAAAATTTATTCTTTAAAATATCTGATAGCTGAAAACAGAACACATTTTTTAAACGCCAATTTAAATTTCCCCTTCGAATTTACATTTCTTAGCTATCTTAGTAAGATATTGAATGAATGGTGGATGAATACACAAAGTTGAATATATTAACATTAAAGCAACCGGATATCATCCTTGTGTTATATCGTTGACAGGATGATATTCTTCATAAGCAGACAATGAAACAAAACAATTTCATTTTGGGTACGAAGAATAAAATTAGCTGTAGCAGCATTTCATTAGGATAAACAAGCTTGTGTCTGCAAAAAATATATCTGAACATACCTTGAGGATATGTCAATGTTAAAAAAAAAATATGAAAAATAAGCTTGGCTAATTATTTATATCACTGTTATAAAATAAAGAGAAGAAACATAGTTCAGTTGTGGTGTATAATCTAAGAGGTCTGTTCAGAAATAACTGAACTTTTTGAATTACGCGCTAATGGAGATATTTAGTGATATATGGTTGGCATCATTGCGTTGCGCATAACTTCTTCTGTAACCACATGTTCTTGGATTGTTGATATATCATTTAGTTTTCGTGATAGTGTTATTTGAGTGTAACGTGTTTAAGTGTTAGTGAGATTCTTGAAATGTGCAATTTTCTGGAACAAAGATGCAATGTAAAATTTTACGTCAAACTGGGAAAAATTTTCACAGAAACGTTTCAGCTTTTGAATCAAGTATATGGAGATGATGCTCTGGATCGTACGCAATGTCACGTATGGTTTTCACGATTTAAAAGTGGTCGTCAGTCAATTGAAAATGATCCTCGACCAGAAAATTGGAGTGAAATGATTGTAACCAGCACCAGATCGGGGTAGCACCCCTCTGAATTAATTTAAAAATAATAAGAAATTAGCGCCACAAAGGAACTTTTTTTCTCGAGTTGGGGGAACGCTGCCACGTGCACGCTCGGAAAATCTATAAATATAGACCCCGTACAACTACCCCACCAAGGGAAATGATTGTAACCAGCACCAGATCCGGGTAGCACCCCTCTGAATTAATTTAAAAATAAT